GGGATTAATTTTGTCAGGCATAATCACAAGAAAAAGAAGGCTGCATATTCTACCAATCATAGGAAACCTTTTAGTTATCGGTGTGGGAGAAAATCGCATTCATCTGATGACTGCTGGTTTAAGGATAAACATTGTAATAGCTGTAACAAAAAGGGGCATATTGCTAAAGTATGTAGGAACAAGCCAAGTAAATTAAATCATGTTATGGAAGACGACGATAGTTTGAATGAACTTGATAACATCGTTTTGATGAGCGTGGTGAATTCCAGTCCGACTACGCCATTACTGGTAACTATTGTAGTTAATAATAAAGACTTAATCTCTGAAGTGGACACTGGTGCAACATATGCTGTAGTGCCTGAACTCATATTTAATAAAATGCTTTCTATGCATAGTACAAATGTTGTGTTTAAAATTTTTACAGGCCAAAAAGTAAAGCCAAAAGGGATAGCCAGGGTAAATGTAACCTACAAAGGCCAAAGTAAATTGTTTGCTTGTATATTAATTGTAACTGAAGCTAAGCAATCCTTGTTAAGTAGGGATTGGTTAAAACATTTCAAATTGGATTGGGTTTAATTGTTTGGAACCATTAATTGAATCGATAGTGTAAATGATGTGGATTTAAATGTTGATATGATCTTAAAGAAGCATGAGTCTCTATTTGATGGCAAACTAGGCTTATTAAAGAATGTTAAAGCTGATACTGAATTAAGTGATAATGCTAAACTGTTAATAAGTAAATGTCACCGGGTTCCTTATTCAACGAAAGAGGATAATGTTAAATACTTGACACCTGTATTCAATGTGTTCACTGAGGCTTGACAACGCCTATTATATATATACCATTGTTTAATAAAGAGTTGGTCCACCATTAGTACTCTGTGATCACAATATGTTGTTAGGCTGTATCTTTTGTGCTTGTGTCATACCCCACGCATACTGTGTTTCAAAGAGCAACTACATGACACTGTACATCCCTTTTCAAGATTAAGAAATTTCTTAATACCCCTCCACCACGATTTATAGTCAGTGGAAAATAAATGCGCAATACTGTTACGATAATAATTGCCTCTCAATGACATGGCCATTCGGTTAGCCAAATTTCATAATTTCTTAAATTTAGCTGATTTAGGATCAGTGGCAAAAGCTATTTGCCGTCTAGTAACAATACCCTGAAAAACATTATTTACCCATGGCTTATCTTTAAGAAGACTATTGATTAACTATGGGGAAATGCAAGTCCAAAAGTTTTGTGATGTTCGTTTGATAAAATTTGAACTGACTCTGAGTACCATTCATACAATACAGATCTTGCTATCTTATATTCTTGAGGTCGTACGCAAAATTGACCTTAGCGTTAGGATTACATCTCTGCTTTGTATGGTAAGTGACGATACTCGGAGACTTAAAAGATCCTGTGATGGGTGAAAAAACAACGACGCTGTGATGGTCAGACAGACCAAGCGGTGATTCTCTTATAGGGCCTCATAAAATTCACTCATATTAGTGTATATCAAATCAAGTGATGTGGCTTCTCTGGTTGCGACCTTAACAACCTGTTTTAAGGGATACTTCAGAAGCAGATAGTCTCTCATTTTGTTAAAGTCACATGTGACGATAATACCCGTTTCAGGATGTTTGCAACATATATGGCCTAAACTTTGTGTTATGTGGGAAGCCATCTCCCAATCATTATTTATGCTACTTTCTGGGTGATATAAAGACCAAAAGAAACATTCGCAACTTTATGAGGCAAGCGTTTAGGGTGGATTGTTATCCAAATACTTTCAAGTGATTCGTGGTGAAGATCAGTCCATATCTTGAATGACAGTTCTTCCCGGACATACAATACGATACCCCCACTCTATGATTTTGCCGATCACTTCGCACCACAGAATATCCTTCAAGCAAAATCAAATTACTTAGGAAAGAGGGGCTCAAGTGGGTCTCAGTAATTGCAATCACGTCACTGTCAGGTTGTAATCATCTCATGCGTACAGCCAGATCGTTGATCTTATTATTTAAACATCGGGTGTTAATAAAAAAAAAAAAGAGGGTAGAGACCATTTTCCATTTGATAGTTCCAATAAGTTATCATGATTACTTCCTTTATTTTTAACGTGTTGAAAAACGGTCGTATATTCGAGATAATGTTACCCTTACAGGTATATGCCTCTGTTTGTTCCTGCTGACACTACATCTGTATGGTCTGGTTGCCGCTATTCCAAGATGGTTAATTCTGGAGAAAAAATCTTTGACCGGAATTTCGCTAATTGTGTAAATCATATCTTTTAAATGCAGCTTGGCGCTTCCAAAAGGGCCTACCTCAGGGTTAAAATCCACTTCAAAATTTCAAAATCTTCTAAAATATCTATATAAAAAAATATAAAAAACGTTAAAATGCAGCAACAGAAACAAAGTTAAAAAATGACAGTAGTAACAGACACTGAACAAGAATACAGGGAGTACTCAGCCGGCCTTGCGTGCACAAGTTTACGACACTCCCTCGATCTGGAATGTGGGTTATGTAACACCAGCAGGTTCGGTTTACTTTGAGCTAGTCTGTGCATGCAATGCTTAGAACAATAGTCAATCCAAGGATGTTAGTCACTAGCTATGTCTTTTGATTAAACGAAGCCAGGGCTAGGAAAAGGCTAAAAAATAACACGATCACAATACTTAAAAAAAAAACCAAAACCACAGGAATACTTTGAAAAAAACACCACAGAAAACTTCCACAAACCTTCACGGACGCATTAAACACAACAATCAAATCAGATTAAGGTAAAAAGCACAATTTTAAGAGGAAAATAATCCTTTCCTTAGCTGCCTGGCTCCTCAAGTGCATAATAGATCATCATAATGGTACAACACTTAGTGTATTTTATTTGTATTAATGCCTAAAAAATCGTGCTACAGTTGATTACTGATAAAAAACGATTTACAAATATTAATTAGCAATGGCCTATCACAAAATGCTGAGGCTTAGTATGAGGCTATTTAAATCCTTTACATCACCTTTTTATAAATTGGGACTACTACTATTCCATAATAATCAGTGACTATTTTTGACAAGACCATGGGCAACAAATTGGCTGACACGTAATACATACTCCACTGTCATTCTCATCCTAACTGAAGGACCAAGAATGTAGTAAACAGTAGCTGTGGAAGCAGCAATGTGAACTATTGTTTATAGGCCCTATGGAAAAATTACAAGAGCACATAAGGTGTAAATATCTGTTGTTTTGGGCTGCAGAATGAGGCCTTGATTTATTCAATAGTTAGGGTTTATTGACAGATGTAGAAAAAATTCCTACTGGAAACAATTTGAAAAATATACCAAACAACATCACTTGACAGTTCTTCGAATATTTCCCCATATATAGTGGCATATGGCATGCCACTTTTTTGAATCTCTATTATAAGTGAAAATTAAAAAGATATGGTTTTTTGTTTTATTCTACGACTGCTTTTGCAGATCAAGAGCAACAACTTGCAACAACAGTGAGCTAACTCACTTTCACTTGATCCCAATAGCTGTGTCTTGTGTTCATATGTGTTGATTTAATATGCTGATTCATTATTCTCCCATTAATCAAGCTATCGTAAATATGCCTATTAAAGTATTATTAATTCATTAAAGTATTATTCGAGCTTTGTTATTATTACTGGTATTATTATTATTATTATTTTAGAACTAATCAATTATTGATACAATAATGTCCTCTATCGTTCAAAACATCCATTTTGATTAATTAAACAACAGCTTTTTTTGAAAGTGGTATTGCCAATAGGAAACTGCAGTTTTTTAGCATTGCGGCAGTGCCAATAGAAAATGACAGCTTTTTTTGCACTGTGGCAGTGCTGATAGAAAACAGCAGGTTTTTTTTTCGCACTGCGGCATTGCCGATAGCCTCAGCCTGTAACAGCAGTAATTAGGCAGTTGGTAAATAAAACATAAATGACACTTAAATCTAATGATATTTAATGTTATAACATTATCTTCATTGGTTGCTATTTTATTGTATAAAAGAAAAAGCATTTAGACAAATAAAGAAAATCATGAAAAGAAAGAGGATGATGAGAGTTATCACAAAAGAGAAAACTTAAACATAATTATGACATGATATTAAATGCTGATGCATTTGAATGATTGTACTGATATCAATGGATAAAATAGATAAAGATGACGGTTCAACAGCAAAAAAGCGCAAAAAAATAAGCATTGTATTTTACATTACATGGTGGCTTTGGTGCTTAATAATTTGTTGTGCCTTGATTAAGAAAATTACTGTTATGGTATAAAATTTCAGGTCACCATTGATTTCTTGATAACAGAAAAAATCATGAATTTACCAGCAATATCATTATCAAGCAAACATCCAAGTTACTTTACACAGAGCTTTTTTTTTAAATTTATTTATTGTGTGACATATCTTAAAATATTTGACTCCGAATTAATTTCTGACATAGCCATTGAGAATAAATATCTAGTCCATTTGGTACCATGGACCTCAATTATTAAAATAATCTGTGGTTAATGTTCAAATACATTTCCAAGAAACACAATCTGGTGTTATACGTCAGAATTACTAAAAATTAAAAAACAATATAATAACAACAACATTGAAATCTTTAAACATTCACTTTCACTTGGTCTCACTAGCTGAGCCTTGTTTTCATCACTTGACAGTTCTTCAGATGTTCCTTCAAGGCTCATAGTGGATGGCACATCAGGCCTGTCACTTTTTTGAATCTCTGTTATAGCTGTAAATTAAGAAGGATATGGTTGTTTGTTTTAATCTACTGCTACTGCAGTGATATTGAAATAATTAAACTCATATTCACTTGTTCCCACTTTTTAGCTTTTTATCATTATCGTTGCAAGTATAAACTGTATGTTCTGGAGGGGTTAGTGGATGGCATATCCGATGTGTAATATTTTTGTCTCCCTATTGCACGTGGAAATTAAAAAGGATGTTTGATTTGAAAAGACGTACATTGCTGCTACACAAAGAAACCAAAATATATTATTTAAATATTTAAACTCACTTTCACTTGTTCCCTCTAGCTGTGTCTTGATTTCATCACTTGACAATTTTTCAGATGACCCTTTAAAGGTCATAATGGATGGCACATCAGGCATGTCACTTTTTTGAGTCTCCATGATTATTGCTGGAAATTAAGAAGGATAATGAATGTTTATTTTATTATTCTACTGCTAATGCAGAGCAAAAGCAACATCAAGAAATATAATAGTGAAATAACTATAAAGTAGTGTTTGTTCTATAGCTACTGCAACAATATAATACTAATTTAAATAAACTCATTTTCACTTGATCCCACTAGTTGTCTCTTGTGCTCATCAGTTGGTAATTTTTCGGGGTTTACTTCAAGGGTGGCAGATGATGGTAAATCAGATATCTCACTTTTTTGAGTCACTATTATAAGGTAATGATAAGGTATTATAACAGCAACAATGAAAGCAACAATTTAATACTAAAATAACTAAACTCACTTTCACTTGATCCCAAAAGCAGTGTCTTCTGTTCTTCACTTGATAACTGTTCAGAAGTATCTTTAAAGGTGGCAGGGGATGGTACACCATGTGTCTCACTTTCTGTCTCTTTAAAGTCATTTTTGCATGATCAATAATTGAAATTCTGAAGTCTACAACTTATATTTTATCCTTAATATTAAAATTCATAATACAGTACTGTTGTTTCTGGTAAAGATATCTACATCACAATCAGACAATTTTTATAATGCCATTTACCAGTATTATTTTATTATTTTATTTCTTTTTGCAGTCATTGTCATCTTTATCTTTTTCATTGTATATATAATTATCATCTATATTATCATAATAATCAAGCAGTACTAAGTCACCATGCAGTATTAGAAATACAAAACACATTGAAATTGTCTCTTCATGTTCAGATCAGATTTCGTTTTATTATTTATTGTAGGCCATGCTTTCAAAAATAGCTTCATTTGTTATAAGTGCTTTAAAAATATTAAACTCCTTTGACTGATATGATTGGAGAGGTTATAGAAGACAAAAATAGATAAATAGAGCCAGCACCGGATAGAATTCATACTTCCAGACAACTTTATTACATGATTTTTTAACTTTCTGTTTATTTTGGTCATGCTCTTTCATCCCAAAATTCAATCACTTCTCGCCCTTAAATCAATTATTTGTACTGCTCCACTATATTACAATGATCCATTCATTAGTTTTTTAATAATCCTGCTAACAAAGACACAAATAGCGGCGAAAACATCCTGTTGAGCTAGTACTTACCACACTCATCTAAATCTTGCAGAACCTTGTCAACAAAGTTTTCTTCACAGGCATTGATGATAGTGAATAATTCAAACTCAAATGGCACAACAGCATCTTCTGATAACTTGACTGGTATTATCTTAGCATCATTAAGTGTTTCTGATTTCAGCATTTCTATAACAACACTGTGTGCAGCATATTTAGAATATTCAGTCAATGGTTTTGGTGAAAATGCAATAATAATTCTTCTGCTCTCTATTACTACATTATTAATAGTTTCAGGCTTCCATTTTTTCAAAATGGTGCACTTTAATTCTGGTCTCTTGTGTTGTAAGTCCTCCATCAACTTATTTTCCCACTCTATGTCGTCACTTACGATACAGAGATGATATGAGCCGCCTTGAAAAGCAAAGAAAAAAGACATGTAATTCAGTAATAATTTGAAATTTCCTTGAAACCCTTACATTTATTGCTGATGAATAATCCCTTTAATTGCAGTACCACCATATTCCAAACTTGTCTTACATCACACTTTTGTCTTCTTGTAGACTCAAGAGAAATATTTTTATCGATGTCTGCAATGTTTAAATGTATTACACAGTACAGTAGTATAATTTTTAATTTTTTCTTACTTTTCATTAAGTTACAATTGCTGTTTCACTTATTTGTATTCATAACTAGTACTTTTTTATTGAGGAAAGCAAGAAAATGCATGTTTATTTAAATTAAATTGCAAAAGCACATACTTGTGTTCAGAAATCTAGAAAATGAATGTTTTGCCTGAGAACAACAACATGTACGTGTGGATAATTTATACTCACATTCTCTCTCATAATCAACTTTTCACTTTACAATATGATCTCTCACCTTTTGCCTTCAGCCTACTCAGAGCAGCTTGGTATTGCTTCTCATCTAATCCTGATGACCATCTCTCAACAAACTCCTCCTGTTGATCTACTGGCACTAATACTCCCGCCAAATCTTGGATGAGGTCACCACTCAAATGTATATCTCGTAGATTTTCCAGTGCATTAGCATCAGACACAGAAAGATGGAATACAACAGACTTACTGTCTGCACCTACAATGATACCAAAAGAGTATTAAATTAATTTCCATTATTTTATATCAATAGCAATACCCTGTTTTCTAGGAATTCCCAATGATTTAATATCTTGAACATAATATACTTATTTTTATTTAGTTCATTTTCTGATTCATTATTTTAAATTTATATTACCAAAATGTTCATTATTTCCTATGGTTTCCAGTGATCTATCTTCTGCTATTCATCATCTTGACTAATAATGACCACTGGCTGGCAAATCAGTCTGTTGGCAGATTTTTGATGGAAGCCTGAGTGGAGTGTCATTAAAAAAGGTGAATACAGTAGAATCTTCTGTAGACTAACAAAAATTTAATGAAACACAAGCTTCAGTTGAATGAAGTGAAAAGCACATAGTCAAACTGAATAAACTCTAGATATATGCAAATGAGCAATAAACAAAGTATAAATAGAATATCAGGCTCGAAAAGACCAGGGATAAACAAAGCGTCATGGATGAAAGGTCTATGAATTATAAACAAATAACAAGTGCACAAAAAACACAGCAAATGGCAACAAATCGGTATATAATGATATAATAAAAGAATATGATATAAAATAACAAAGTATGTCAATGAAAAAGATATTGCGAAGGAATAAGGGTTTAATAGTGCGACAGGAATCCACGATCTCGGTTCAGTCCTTTGTTTATAGAGTCAAATTTATTAATCATTTTTTGTTCAGAGATCATTCTATAATAAGTGAAAGCTTGTGTTTCATTAAATTTTTGTTAGTCTTCGGAAGGTGCTACTGTATTCATTTTGTTTGTATTTTATGCTAAAGACTAATACGGCTCCTACTTTTATTATTAAAAAAGGTGCATTTTTGTGTTCGACATTGATTTATATATGCTGTACATAATCATTAAAATATTAATGACCTTCAAATTCTTAAATAAATAAACTTTGTATCCACTTTTTATGGATACTTTCCATCCTGAAAAATGTAAATATTTTATACCTACCACAACCTTCTAATAATTTATCAATGAATTTTTTTTCCCAAAAATTCAACGATGTGAATAATTCAAACTCAGATGGTACAATAGCATCTTCCGATATCTTGACTGGTATTATCTTAGCATCATCAAGTGTTTTTGCCTCCAGCATTTCTATAACAACACTGTGTGCAGCATACTTGGAATAATCCATCAGTGGTCTTGCTGAAAATGCAATGATTATTTTCCTGCCTTCTCCTATTAAATGATCAATAGTTTGCGGCTTGGTTACTCGCCACTTCTTCATGATGGTGAACTTTAATTCTGGTCTTATTCGGTTTAAGTCCTTTATCAGTTCTTTCTCCCAGTCAATATCATCACTTATGATACTAAACATTGAACTGCATTGACCTGCAAGTGAAATCACACCATTTCTTTAAACTATGCCACACAGCTAATAGAACAACTGAAGGATAATAACAAACAATAAGTACAGTAGACAAACTACAAATAATAAACAATAATGATACAAATACTGTAACTATAACAGGGGTTCTCAACTGGCGACCCACGAACCGAGTACCAGTTATGCGGCCCATGAGAACAGGCTGAAAATAATAGTTTCCGTTAGGTTTGGGCCTAGATTTTTTTTAACCTTAATAATTCTACATCCTGTTTTGCCAACTAGGCCAATATATTGCCCAGCAAATTTTAGCGATTTATTCAATCAAATCTAAAAAAATACTGCAGCAAACAGCAAAAAAATACTGCATGTATTACCGATGTGTGAAACATAACATTTTGACTTTTGCATTACAAAACCGTACAAAGTAACTTAGGTCAAGATGCCTGTATGAGCGTCTTGGTCTAGCAGCTTAATATTTTCAAAAACTTCTAATTCGGAGAGGGGCCACCCCCTCCCAAACCCTCCTTCGTCTTCAGATATTCTGAGCTCGGATGGTGCTATGCACCATAGTACACCTTTTGCCCTGGCCCTTCAAATTTATTCAATGAACAATTTTGCCTCCTATTGAGATATAGTTGAGAACCCCTGAAGTATAATAATAATAACATTAATGATAACAATAACTATGACAACAATAATAATGATAATATAATAATAATAATAATAATAATAATAATAATAATATAATAATAACACTTTACTTTCCTCATTAAAATTGGGGACCCGTGGCAGCATCAGTGCAGTGCCACCTGGCTTAACTACACCATTTAATGTATATGTAATACACAAACATGTTTCTTAACCCATATAACTCTCAATGTGAAGGTTATTCAAGGAGATGAGCAATCAGACTTTAACTAAATATCAATGCTGGCCAAGGTTTGAACAGGGGTCACAGCACCAGAAGCAGGAGCAATATCTCTCAGCCAAATGCCAATGGTAGAAAAATTTTGGATACATTGGAGAAATTTGTAAAATTTGCTAAATTGGGAGGAATTGCTGTGAGAATGCAACAATAATAAAGAGTTTTGAAAATACAGAACATAATAAAACTGTATTGCAACACATTATGTTATTGTACTCCTGTAAAAGTGTATCAATGGAAGAGGGTAAATGGAAGTAAGAGCAAAATCCCCCAAATAAAATTTGCTCGAATCCAGCAGAATTAAAGCAGCTTTGTTATAGAAGAAAGAATTTACAGATTTCATAATTTATGTCCAATATCTCACCATTTCCTTGCAGCTTTGTGAGTGCAGATTTGTATTCATTTTCATCGATGCATGTCATCCATTCATCCAAGAACTCCTGCTGATGTTTCTCTTGGACTAATATTTGAGCCAAATCTTTGATAAGTTCCCCACTAAAATTGATTTCAAATAGATTCATCAAAGCATTTGGATCATATACAGATAGATGAAATACTATAGATCCATTTGCTGTTCCCTTTAATCTTATAGACATATTCTTGAAATAATTATGAAGCTCTTCAACTTTTGATGAAATCTCTTCAATATCTTTTATTTTCATATTGTCCCTATTTTTTGTGAGTTGATTAACTAAATAAAGGGGATCCATTTCAGATGATCCATCCTCTTCATCACTTTCTCTTTTTTTCCGCTTCCGCTGGGTTAATGTCAGTTGAATATCTAACAAATAAAAAAAATAATTGTAAAATATTAATAAATATGAATATATTAAAATATGGGGAATCAAATCAATAAATAATTTACAAATTTTGCCATGATGGTACATCAGCAATCAGTGGCTCATATGTTTGGTTATACACAAATGATAGTAGCTACAGCGAATTACTATAGTTGTGCCTGTGTCTGTTCAAAGAATTAATCCTTTCAGTAAAACAAGTGGATAATATAATAGAGCTTCCATGATTCACAGGGATGACAGGGATTCACCGTCCATTTCTTCATGACAAATCTATTCAAAGGAATCTATTCAAAGTGTCTATAAAATATTCTCAAACTCTATTAGAGCTATTTTCAGAACCATACATGTGTACAGCATATATCTGGACAATAATGCTTGAAAAAGTGAGAGTGCACAAACTACAGTATGGTGATTAGCCTGTAACGATCAAAAGAAAATAGTCATTAAGAAACTGTAGGTAGCGGTAGCTTTTACTACGAAGAAATGGGAATTTCAGATTAAGCAATGCGCATGCCCAGCTACCAAATAACATCTGTGGATTATCTAAAAAAACACAGTGAGCATGCGCTTCGAAATGCTAGACAGCCAGTGAGCATGTGCATTGAGTATGTGACATTATCAAGCCATGTCGAGCATGCGGAGTTACCAAAAAGACGTCTTAGGAACCAAACACAGCCTGCAAAGACATCTCAGGAACCAAATAGCTGCTGCGAAAAGGGTATGACCACCAAAATAGTCGTCTTAGGAACAAAACAGCGGCTGCAAAGAGGGTATGAAATAGAAACAGGAAAACTATATATGTTATGGATGAAAAATAATGAGAACTCGAGTGGGTCGAAAGCCTCTATTTGGCTTTACAGTCAGTTCATAAGTGTTTGTCAGGGGGAATTGTAATTAAATTATCGTTAAAAAAGTATATTAGGCTCTATCGTCATACCTACATATGTAGACCTATGCATTGACAATCCCATAAAAAATAACCACAGAAACTGATGACACAACCTAGGGCCTACTACTAGCCAAGTAGTAGAGCCAGGGTATTCCACATTTAATGTTGAAAATATGGTGCCTATACGTGGAAGAGGGTTAGGGTTAGGCTAACTATTTTCGAGGTCAGTGACGTAACAGGCTGGGGTAGACAGACTGCCTCCCGTGACGGTTTTTACCAGGCTGAACTAGCAGTCGTACCGGGCTGGGTAATAAGAGAAAAGAAAGAGGGGATAAGGAGGGAGAGAGAAAGAAGAGGAAGAGAAAAGGAAAGGAAAAAGGAAAAGAAAAAGAGGAGAGAAAAATAAAGACAACCTGCACCCTCTTCTCCACTTAACTACTTTGATTTAAGCTGCCAGATGGCATAACCACCGGGGAACAAGGGAATATATCTATCTTTGGAAAATCTTCAAAAACCCTTTATAAATGCCCCTTTCATCCCCTGAAAGTGCCTAGAAATCTCAAATTTCGCTCGCTCGCACACATTTCTTGTGAAAGTAGGCCAATTTCCTCTTTTTTGATCAATTCCAACGAAATTAGAATTAAAAACACCGGGGGACAAAGGGAAAATATCCATCTTTTGAAAATCTTTCCCCACCCCTTGATAAATGCCCCTTTCATCCTCTGAAAGTACCTAAAATCCTCAGATTTCGTGTGCTTCACGCGCATTTCTTGTTACGGCAGGCCAATTTCCTCTATAAATTGCACATTTTAGGGAGCTTTGACCAATTCCAACGAAATTAGAATTAAAAACACAAAAAAATTTTATTAGGGTCTTTTAGGGTTATCCTTTTAAGTTATTTAAACACATAATAGTCCCAAACTCAAGAAAGAAAAATTTAAGATAGATAGTTTTACCTAAAAGAAGGGCCTCTATGTGTATTGATGGTGAAAGAATATGTTTGTGTCATGAATTCCTACTTGACGTATTTCCGAGCGGTATAGAAATGACTAGGAATCCCTCTTTGACATATAAAATATAAACACAGCTCACAGTGTTGTAAAACAACTCTCAAATAAACTTTTATTCTGTATAACCTCCAACAAGAATCCGGTATCAAAATTACACAATAACATTCACATAAACATGTGTTTCAAAAGGAGCTCCAGAAAGATAAAACTATCAGCTTATATATCCTAGCTGAACAACTCCAGAGCATTCAAGAGCATTCCATATTGCCTAAGTTCCCCATTCAGTCAAACACCAGCATCTGTCTTACCATTAAAAAGCTACCCCCTAAGAATGCTAAACAATATCACATACAATATTTGCATGCTGCTTAGTTGACACCCTTAGGGGATACTCCTAGTAATGGGACACCCCTATTAATTCGAAACCCCTCCTAAAGGGAGGAACTTTTTGGGCTGATGCTGTCCCTTTACAGGGGCGGATCCAGAAATGTCCAAAAGGGGGGGCCGGAGGGGGGGGCCGAAAGTTGGGCCGATTGAGACAACACTGTCGTAGGGGGTCCAGGGCATGCCCCTGCAAAATGTTTGTGTTCTAGACGCTCGAACATAACATTTGAGGCATTCTGGGCTATCATGTTTTTCTTTTTCTCTCTCTTTTTCTTTTTTTTTCTTCTTTTTTTTACCTCCCAAAAGGGGGAGGCCGGGGCCGGGCCGGCACCCCCTAAATCCGCCCCTGCCTATCATTCCGAGCCTGAGTCCTAGTTACAACTAAGCTATGAATGTCCTTATCACCGTTCTGTAACAAGAGTTCAAAATTGGGAAAATCCCTACCAAGAATCACATCTTTAGGCAAATTTTTGCTGATGCCTACCAACAAACTATGGTCTTCATTTCCCACCTTAATATTTACATAAGCTGTAGGGTATGCTTGGACATGGTCATGGACACACCTACATGTAACTTTAGCCTGGTCTTCACGATATACTTTCTTAGCCGCAATTAAATCAGTATGAACAAGTGTCATGTCATATCCAGAATCTAACAAAATTTCACTATCACAACCCTCCACTAGGCCTCTACAATGTAAGACGTAGTTGCACATTAGCTGTCATTTTTGACAAGTAGGCGTCTTTACTGCGACAGAACCTTTCAATATGACCTACTTTCTTGCAACGTCTACAAACGAGAGGTGGTCTAGTGTCAGACTGTGACTTGTGACTTTGGTCAAATGATTTAGAACTACTTTTAATTTCTGCTTCAACAGCACCCTTATCAGTTTTTGCCTGATTATATTTGTTTTCAGAATTTCGAGGCTGAAACCTCTTGTCAAATTGTACTCCTTTTCAAGCCTGAAAATAATTATCTGCTAGTTCTGCAGCATTTAAGCCTGATTTAGGTTTGTGCTCTTTAACCCAAATTTGTACCCCAGTGGGCATAATTTCTACCAATTGTTCTAAAATTACTATTTCTGCCAAATCATCTTTACTTTTGTCATTAGGTTTAGCCCACTTGGTAAATAAATCCTTTAACTTTACATACACATCTCTATAACTTTCCTCAGTTTTCTTTCTAATAGCCCTAAACCTCTGTCTATATGTCTCTTCAGTAATATCATACCTTCTTAATATGGCTTCTTTTACCTTGTCATAGTCATTGCTATCCGTCACTGGTAGTGCTGCATAAGCTGCTTGTGCCTTGCCCGTCAAGCGAGGGATCAATTTCACCACCCAGTGCTCCTTGCGCCACTCGTAGGTGTTAGCAATTCGTTCAAATGTGGTTAGGTAATTCTCGATATCATCACCCTCAGCCAACTTTGCAATCTGAATTTCCTTCAGTTTCATAATGTCTTTAAGACGTTTGTCATCACTTTCCTTTTGTTTATCAATCAGCGTAGTAACTAAAGCCATTTGCTTGTCCATTTCTAGCTTGTGTAAGCGCTCTTGCCTTTCCATTTCTTTCTGGCGTAATCGTTCTTGTCTTTCCATTTCTTCCTGGCGTAATCGTTCTTGTTTTTCCATTTCTTCCCTGTGTCTCTCTATTTCTTCCTTGCGTTGCTGATTCTGGCTATCCATAATCTGCTTTATCAGATCCTGCTGCTGTTGTTGCAGGTTTTGCCGTTGCATTCGCATTTCCTGTTCCATGTGCTGTTGTTGCTGTAGCACTTGCTGTTGCATAATTAACAGCAAGTTGTTAGTAGATAAGTTACTGCCTGGAAGGTTAAGTCCACCAGGTGCTACAACGTTTTCTGTATCATGTTCTGAATGTTGCAACTGAACAGATTCATCATCTGTTTCATGGTTATCGTCGCCTTGGTACTCCTTACCGGATCTTGTTGTTGATTGTCCATTAGCCATAATGAAATTTGGACGAGTGTCTTGTTAATAGTAAATCGTGGTTACCGATACGTTCACAAGTCTACTGCCCCAAATACAAAGATAGTCAATGTCCACTGTCTAAAAAAAAATTACAGACTACTTACTGTAATTGTAGAAACTTCACACAATTCGTTAAACAAAACGATATATAAATCCTTGGTTACAGTAGAACACGACCACAGCTGCTACTATAATACGTCATGCAGTAGAACAACCGCCGCTGCCACCATAATGTCATGCAGTAGAACGACCACCGCTGCCACCATAATATGTCATGAATTCCTACTTGACGTATTTCCGAGCGGTATAGAAATGACTACTGTAAGAATCCCTCTTAGTCATATAAAATATAACACAGCTCACAGTGTTGTAAAACAACTCTCAAATAAACTTTTATTCTGTATAAACTCCACCAAGAATCCGGTATCAAAATAACACAATAACATTCACATAAACATGTGTTTCAAAAGGAGCTCCAGAAAGATAAAACTATCAGCTTATATATCCTAGCTGAACAACTCCAGAGCATTCAAGAGCATTCCATATTGCCTAAGTTCCCCATTGGTTACCTTACATCATAATTAACCAATTAGGCTTATTTGCCTCTAAAGTACCCAATATTCTGGAAGCTTCCATATACTACTCTTGGATTCTACATGGTGTCATGTGTTCCTAAAATTACCAATGTGGTTTACACTGTTTCTTTGATCAATTAAATGTTATTCTAGAATCTTCTATGTATTAAATATGTTAAAGTAAGGCAAGGAATGGTAATTTATTACA